CTGACAAGGACTTCTAACAGTTCATTTCAAAATGTCAATTAATTAAAGCATCTGAAAGGTCTGAGTTACTGTGCTGATATGTGCACGAACAATTTATGAATACGTACAGGTACGACATGTAGGCACTGTACATTTATTAGTTATCCTGCAAACGCAAGTGGAACACGAAATAGTGGGGCACAGATGCACTACATTTTCTGTGTTCCATGAGCGCAATAACAATTTCTCTTCAAGCAAACTTGGCACACAGTAAAGTTGGAACTAGCACGCTTTACATGAACCTTTAAGTGGTTTAGCGCATGCAGCTGTAATATCGCTCTCATCTTGGAACAGCATAACAGTGCGATACGGACCGTGCGATTAGGTATAATATCACATTGTTGTTGCCATGGATCGACCAATCAGGATCAATGATTCAAGTTTGCTGGAAGATAAAAAGTGATACACAACTACATGTATAGCACTGCACACTGTGTTTATACAAAACACCCATTTTTTTAATCAAATCCATGCAGCATAAATTAACGTTGATAAACCAACAAAACGCAAAATAAAGTTGAACAAATACTCAAGTTGTGAGTCACAAAACACAGTTTACACTCGAACAAGCAACTTGTAGAAACTGGCACTTGTAGTTGAACAAAAAGCACACTCACAAAATCAAAAGAATTGTCTGTAAATTTGTTATCCGTTTGATTGGTATTGTATTTGATGACATACAAAATTTTACCTTTAGTGTTGGTATTTACAACTGAATTACAAATTGGTTTTTAACATTTTAAATAGATGTTTTTCACACAGACCAACTTGCAACGCCAACCAACTTGTCCAACTACAGCAAATCAAATTTGACCATTTAAAAAAAAATTCTTAGAATAATGCTTGACCAAGCAATTCGTTTCTGGCAACTGTACACAATAGTTACAATCCAGTGCAGTCTGGTGTAAGAGTTGGCAGTGCTAAACTTTCACAAGTTGAAATCTATGCATATTGGCAAGTCATCCATGCATACAGAATAAACACAAGGTATATGCTGGAATGTACACAATGTAAGTTATGAGAATAATGCATGCAGTGAAAAGCGCGTTTTTTTCTTTTCTTGAACAAACAGCACTGCTGCAGTTCGCAATGGGTAAACACAGTATTGAGAGTCCCAAGTTTGCGGACTAGGTAAACACATGAATTCGTATTTTGGATGAATAACTGAATTCAGTGCAGTAGGTTTACATGACCTATTGATGTATGTTGTATTCAACATATTAATTAATTAATTAATTAATTAATTAATTTTAAGATCACTGTCATCTGGTCTTAAAGATATTTGCATAAAATTGTATTTGTTTAAAGTATTAAAAACGTTAGGCCCTACACTTAAAAAACAATACTGAGAAGGGATTTGCACTATTTTGATTACTTAAAGTCTTTTATAATTATAAACTAAACTATGAAGTGGGAAAGAAATACAGAATGTCAACAGACAATAAATTGTTAGCCTCTGAAAAGTCACTAATCATGATATAGCCCTAGATATGGTTTATTAGTTTATTACACATACAACGTATGTCTTTTCAATCAGGGCTCTACAAATACTTGAATCGAAAGCCTTTTTGGGTTGAGAAACATATTTAAAGTGAACAGGATCAGTTCCTGGTGGAAATAAAATATGAAAAGTATTTTGAAAATGTTTCAACCTATTAGACTAAGTTAGAGACTCCGGATAGCATTTCCACATAAACATAAATATTTGACATGTTGTGTATAGCCATGTGTTTACAATATCATAACTGGTTAATGTAATTAACTACTGCCTGGAAAGTCAAAGAAAAACACAATGACATTCCGTTTTTCAAAGGACACCAATGCATTGGTATGTATCAAAAAAAGCCTCAGGTAATTAATTTCCATAAGCAGTAAATACCACACGGATAATAAGGTCGTGGAACCGTGATTTGCAGCGGGAATTTGGTGACAAACCTCGGGGTTGCACAGCAGGATTGCCGGCGCGTATAGCGTCGTGAAACACGGTAAGCGGTCCCGCCCGCAAAGGGTACCGTTTGGCTCTCAAATGTCACCCCAAATCAAACCGATCCAGCTTCAAAAGTATCCGTACATGTTAGGCAATATAACTTGCTGATACATACCTCAGATCGCGGTTATAAATCCAAGAAATCGGCTTCTAATCAGTGATATTTGTTTGCAACAGACGAATTTAACATGCACAATTAAATCCGCACTCATTTACGAACGTGTACATCGTGCGATGCAGTGCATGCATAGTAGCGGTAACACCACTGCGCTAATGGGCCCACGGGAACTAAAGTAAACAAGGTAAAATTCATTTCAAGCGCGAGCGCCAATAATATTTTGTCAGTCCGTTGATACATTTAAAGGCCAGTTTCTACATTGTATTTTCCATGTCGAAATTTTTGAGAAATGATGATCTATTCAAAAATCGAAGTGATGAAAAATTGAAAACATAATGACTAAACATAATGACCTTGTCCCTCCCATTCATTGACCTACTTCCCTGTTTCGGATAATGAAATGATCCATCCACCTGCCACCATTTCACATACCATGCATTTTTCTGTTTCTCAACCAATCTGCTTCTGTATTTTCAATTTTATTATCTGTGTGTACATAAGGTTGACATCTATTACAAACGCATCAAGTATTTAACGGACAACATGTAAATTGTGTAATATTTCCAATGTTTTATCAAGGATGTTTGTGGATTATCAGCATAAACAGTGGATTGCATACATATGGAAATTGTTAATACTGCCCTCTGTTGATTCTATGACTTTATTGGCAGTATTCATGAAAAAAACTAGAAAAATATACATTTTGGTCACTGATGTCATACTTGTGGAAATTTATGACTGATTATATTTTAACTATTGGGGAGTACAACATGTATCAGGGTTTTTCAACCAACATTTTTCAATCAGAATGCTCGGAACATGCTTTTATTTATTAGTAAATATAAACTTAGAAAAAACCCCAAAGGATTTCTTAACTTTGTTTAAATATGTTGCATTATTATCTCAAAAGTAACACAAGCAGAAATGTTTCGAACACTAACTCATTCAATTTTACAGAACTTTTTCATGAGTATTTCAATTCTTCAAAATTGACCCCCAAAAATAGTTTGTGTAGCATTTTTAAAACAAGGATTTCAGTGCTACTCATTATTTTGACCGGTCATGGACCCCACCGTGTATCCAATACTGATTCCCACACGTCACACTGGCTGAGCCTACCCCAACCATATCCCCACCAGAGCATTACTAGTTTTTCCGCACAAAATGACATGGATGTATAACTTTGAAGTCAATTTCACAAAATAAGACAATAACACAGTTACCACAGATATTTTCCCACAGCACAGTTCATCATATACTTAAAGGGAATATACATCATTTGCTTTTGCTGTAATTTTCAGAAATGGATGGAATTGGGGGGTTGGAAATATATAGCAAATATAGTTACACTGACTTTTTTGAGGTTTTGGGTTCGAAAATGCTATAAAAACCAAGAAAAACAATCATTTTCCTGTAGTCTGGTTCCCTGACTCCATATAAGAAGAAACAGAGCAGTTTACATACATTGGGGAATTGTAAGGTCGGGGAACCAGTCTAGCTGGCTTGTACCCGTTCATAGGTGTGTAATCGATTGCAAACAAGTGCGATGGTCAATTGGGGCCAGTATTTGAAAAAAGCCAGTGTTTTCCAACGCTGGTCGGCCGACCAGCGTTGGAAATTGATACAAAAATACCACTTTTCTTGAAAATGACAGTATACCAGGTGCCATGATTTTACAGGATGCTTTACACTGTCATTCACTAACAGTCCAGCAAGGTATTTCAAAATGATTTGGTAGTTTTATTTTTAGATGTTTGCAAATGTTGTATTTTCCCTTTAAAACTTACAAGGCACGCATCAATAGCAATTTTTGAAAAGACATGCATGAAAGACAAAACTGAATTTGTGTTTGTTTCGTATTCAATGTATTCAATGCGTGCCGTGTATTAAACTCAACTCTAGCATAATCTTTCTGGCCTATCTCCTTTTGTTTATTTGATGATTCATATCTGAAAATAGAGGGCGCTATTGAACATATCTGACCAGACAAAAAGACAAGGTTTTGTAAAAGTCAATATCCTGAGCGTATTAAATAAATATAATTCCATTGAACACAATCCCCACGCACAAATCTAGAAAGTTATCTGTGATTAAATCTTGGAAAACACATTCTAAAACGATCTTTCCTAAAAATGAATGCATGAAAGACTTAAATTGGTCCATAAGCTTTTTAGCTTCATTTTTTAAGAAAAACATGTCAGTTTAGTTTAAAATGTAGCAGAAAGTTCACTTGCAACTTTTCAGAATTTTCCATAAGCCATTTTGAAAGCAGTGACCTATGACCGATTATACACCAAATTCAGCTCAATTTGTACTTATTTTACCGTAACAGACATGCATCAATTGGTCTTAAGTTCCAAGGACGGACAAACCTGAATAGCTAAACAACAACAAAACTAAACACAGAAAGAATTCTATTCCCCAAAAGTTCCCACAGCCATAAAGTTTGTGCATGCACATCAAGCATAACAACCATTGAGTCAAATGACCTAAACTACAAGCCAGTACAATAGGTGAATACACACTAGGAAAAAATTAAACTATTATATTCAAGCCATATTATAAGAACTCTTTCTTGGTCAAACTATAATCTAAGGAACTAAACTTCTCTACTAGCTAGTTGGGAGTTGGGACCATATGGAATTAAGAATTTAATGGATTAAATTTCTGATCAGAATTGCTTGAGAGGCAAAAAAGGTGGAAAGTTGTTTCCTTATACAATAAAACTCCTCTACAAAGCTCAAGTGTCAATAGAGTCGAATTTGTATCTTTAATGTGACATTGAGATGCATCAAAAAAAAAAGGGAGGGGAGTATTTTTAAAACTCGAAGGAATTTCTGAATGTAAAATGCTTACCACTCCAGCATAAATTGAGCGGGATTTGTTTATCTTCTTGATTAATCCTGGCTTGATTTTCTGCAATAACCTGATAAAATGGAAGAAAAGAATCAACTCGTAAGACATTTTTACACAGTTTTTAAAACTACAAGAATGCAACACAACCCTTGTTTGGCTGCCTCATTAAAATATAACTTTAACTGGCCCAGAGAACATGGGCGTTTCTGTCGATAAAAAAGGTGAAATGTGAATGTCAGCCACAATAAATATGTCAAGTTGCTAACCTGCAGACCTCCCCAGCTGAGGAGAACACTACAGTCAGCTTACTGTGTTAGATTAAGGGATCATTATGACTGTTGGCATGGCAACCAGACAATATGTTGCTTTAACAAATTGCTTGTCCACCTACAACTTTGGTGACAGATTGGAATTTGTGGTCTTTCTAATTCTCACTGTGCATTTTACTACTTGGTCAGAAATTTTATGGGAGCCTTTTGGGTTTAAAGTTTCTCAAAATTGTATCAATCAATTCTGAACTTATTACAGAAATACAATGTAAGTTTGCTTTCCTTAGTAATAGTATAATTAGTTTTTGAAAATTGCTATTTGAAAATAGCTCTTGTTAAAGACTGTTAAAATAATGTGGACTTACATGCACAGCAGAATCCCGTCCGTCATCGATTTGCGGAAATCATCAGTGCGGAACTTCATTCCAGTAACATTCTGCAAAAAGAAACATGATAATAACAATAGCATTTTTAACCAAATTACAAAACAAATTATTAGCAAGACCTCACTGCAAAGATTTGACTTAGATAACTGTAATTTGAAATAGATTCAAGATTGTCTGATGTTTGAAGTGACTATAACAAAAGCCCATCTGAAATTTTAGAATCAGAGACAACATAATGTGACATCCTATAATAATATTTTCCTCAATATCATTGCTGGACAAACAATAAACATTCAAAATTGCCCTACGTTTGTTCAACTAGCTATTCAGTATTTGTTTACAGTTTGTCTGAAGTGATGGCGTTTAATTCCCACACATTCTCCTCATTCCAGAAAGGATTTAGGAACAAAACCTTCCAAGGGATAAAGTCTTAAACCTTAAATCGTAGATCAATGAATCAAGGATTAGATGAAAATGAAGCGTCTCAAGCCAGCTGAGGAAAGTCTATACTTTCTAACAGTTTTGCATGATTCATGCATGCGGAAAAATAAGATAATTTAATGCCACAACTAGAATTCTTGTAAATTTTTTTTTTTTTTTTTTTTGGGGGGGGGGGGTAATTAACAGCACAAGAATTCAACACAGTTGTTACTGCTTGTTTCTTCCAGAAGTAGTACTGGTACATGAAGTTATATTCAAATTTGATCAGACAACTTTAAGAAAAGTATCGGTAATACTTGCACTTATACACATGATTCATAATACATGGTGCTCAAGTGAGTAATGAACTTCTCATGGTCAGTTATGCTACAGTCCTATAACCTACATAATTGCTCAATTAGGTGGAACATTCCTGTAAATTGTGTTATTGGAAGACACCCAGATTCTGAATGTCAGAGTTTGATTCACAGGCATCATTTTAAGGACATTGTTTGAATTGTGCAGATATTTTTCTATTTTTCAACACAGTTTGAAAAAAAATTATGCTTATCCTGTGCAAATTATTACTGCACTTTGGAATAGACACTTTTTGCAGAGAACCAACCAACCATCTTCTAAAGCAGTAAAAACTGTGGTCCTCAAATTTTCATCAAATTGCAATTAGCACTTCTTTTCCAAGTCAAGTGTGGATGCCATGTCCCAAACACTGCTGCTACTGACTGACAAAAACCATTCGTCCATTCTGCCTCTTATCAACATTAAATTCATCCCCAGATAAAGCTTAGCGCCAAAAAGGCTTCATCCCCCTAATCCAGATCATCCTCTTTCTGGATCTTCTTTCTGCATGCAGCCTCAGCTCAGTTGAAGGCCATAGGATTACCATTCAGCCAATTCTAGGATCTTCAGCTTAGAGACTGATGGAACTACTCATCATTCATTGCAGTAAAAGAAGCAACCATATAAATGAAAGCAACAAGCATTTGAACTTTTTTGTCAAACCAAAATCCCATAAAACATCACTCATCAAAATCTGAGACTGAGGGGGAATTAGTTGTGTGTAACTTAATCAAGATGCTTGCATAGGATAAATCAAGATTTATCAGAAAGCTGTCTAGTAACTCATCTAACATCCAAAACCAAAGACTCGCAAACAGGAACGCCCATGCTATTTGTTTGATTCACCACACAATTTTGAGAAAGGCTGTGTAACATGCTCAAGTCCCAACCACACTGCTCCATCTTCTCACATTTCATTACGATGATTTATTTTTACAAAGATCACAAATCTGTCATTCTGAAAGACAATTTTCCTCTTTATGACAGTCTACCATAACCATTTAAGGGAAGACACCAGCCTGTGTCATCTTGTATTCTTAAAGACCCATGCCAACCACTCAGCAAGGACACGGCACAAATTCTCTTTTGTGTCACAGTTTGCCAGAGAGATTTCCATTCCAAGGATCAAAAGGGATTTTCTGCCAAGGGATGGTTCATTTACTTCCTGCAAGTTGGCACAATTATGTCACAATCGCTCTGGAATGAAGGGTGCTTAAGTTGAGTTGGTCGTGCAGTGTCCCTGGAACTTTCATTCAAAAAATGGTCCAATAAAACAAATGTGTCTTGCAAAAGATTAAATATAATTGCCACAGTTGCATTCATACAGAAATTTAGTTTTTCAATCTTGTTATCTTGTATGTTAATTGGTTTGATTTCATAGAGATCAACTTTTGTTTTCTTTGAAGTGTGGCTTGAGAACTGAGATAACAGAATAGAAAGTGTTAATGCCCACAGGTTTAATACTGACAAACACTTTGCAGTTTTGCGAGTTTGAAAATATCTTTTCACAATACTTTAGAGATTATGAATCCATCCATTACTCAGGCTAAGGGTCAAGGCGATATCCACCATAATTTCTTGATTGTAAAACTTGGTTGCTATTGCTAATCACTAAAAAGCATGTTTGAAGTTTTGGCAAAAGATGTTTGCAATATACATGTATTGTCAAAAGGAAATAAATGTAAAAACCTTTTTTTCACCGAAAAGCTTTCCATAATTGTCCAAAGTCAACCTAATTTGGGCTAGTGTTTGGTGATATCTGTACATTGTAAATGTGTTAACTCAAACTCAAAAGAAGCAATTCTAACAATTTGCCAAAGTGCGCAACATACAGTCAGTTCTCACTTTCCAAAATATGGCCTGAAGCCCTATTTTAACAATTTCTAGATCAGATATTAATTTTCAGCAATTTCTGTGTTCACGTTTTTCATTTCATTTCAAAACTCAACAGTTGAAAATTCTCTCCTGGGGAGTTTGAAATGTTATGGTGACCTGTTGGTTTACCTGTCTGAATAAAACCTCAACAATTTCCCACAGGCATGGTTTGCTAATTCATTCAATTCAAAACATGTCAAAAGGACTCAAAAATGACAAATCTCTAGCATGCCTTCACACACACAGACAGCTTGAGCTGTATGATTTCATCAGTAAGGTATTTGCTACTTTTACAAAATTCTTTAGAAATGCAGGTCTGTATTCATGAATAGTTAATCTTTCAAGCAAACCATTGAGGCATGACTCGACTCATCCAGGCATTAAGCCATGGCAGGTGGTTGAAAAAAAGGTGAGGTTGTCTGGACTGCATTAGACAAAAACCAACGACCTGGAAAAGTATGCGTTAACATTTCTACGAAAATTCCAAGTATGGTACATGTACATGTATTATTCCCCCCCCCCCCCCAAAAAAGTATAAAGTGCAGGAAACCTTCAAACATACGTGCATGATCTTGAGCATATTTGAAAAGTAGGACATTTGTTTGGAAGGTCCGACTGGATTTGGGGCAAAGGCTTGAGGAGCGGTTTCTAGATGGCATTTTTATCCCTAGTTCACATGAGTATGTTTGACTATGCACTTGCAAAGGCAAGCAAATGAGAGTCAAGAAGTTTGTTTTCATCGCTCATTCTAAGGGAGGTGTTATCTAGGCCTCTGTAATTGTCACAACTATTGATTAGTTCTCTCATTCCTCTTCTTCAAGTATTGATTTAAAGTGCTTGCTTATTTGCCTTGGTAGTGCAACTGAAGACAAGGACATTGGCATACATGCATGCATAGTTCCTTGTACATAACTACAGTATGGCAGAGTTTTACTACCTACTTCTCATTTCTATTCAATTGATGTAATGATGAAAGTAACAATTACCATATCTAATGAAATTAATTGCAGTATCAACTATTTCCATAAACTGAAGGCTTCACTTTTTTTTTCGCTGTTGATGTATTAATCTTCATGCAACAAATCACTTACTGCGGCAAATTTAATTTCCTCATTTTCACCAAACTGTTGACAACAGAACAACTTTTCAAATTCTGTCATTGATGAATGGCCTGTGTGTGATATGGTAATTCTGTCCTTCGGGTAAATTATTCAAAATATGTAGTTCTGATGGTATTTTTTCCACTCCAGTGACTCCACATAACTTCAAAAGATAAAGTGTTCTACTTTGCATGCAAGGCGGCACGAGTTGACACCATTTTGTTGTGAGCATTACAACAGTGCGAACGTGCTTTTTTCATGTAGCCTCGTCTAGTCTGTCCTTTAACCTTTCTTCCAACAATTATGAAAGGAATTCTATGCAAACAATAACGGAGGATAACAATATGTGTTTACCTCTCGCTCGATCTCGACACATTATCACAGCCCCACCATGGCTGTATGTACCTGTAGGCATTACCGCAGGCATGAATTGGGCACACCACAACAATCAGTCCCACATATCTGCAATGCTTCCTTGTATGCCAACAGACTGACGACATGCGAGTTTGAGTAAAAACTTTTTTTCACAATGTGAAAAATTGCTGTTGAGTATCAGGATATGAATCTTCTTACTAGAGTTTTTAAATTCTTCTTAACCCAAAAATCCTTAGTATGCTATGATGCCAATGTTTAAAACACGGCCTGTTGAAAGGGGTTTTTTGGCAACAAACTTTTCCTTTCTGAACTTCATTAACTGGTTCAAAAGTTATGTGACAGGTATTTTGTAATATGTATTTATGTCGAATAACGCTTTCAGAAGTTTCTACAAGAACCTCATGGACAACAAACTGAACACAATTTTGTGCTTGTTCTTTCGATGTATTTAAAACATTTTGTAGAATTCAAATCTCACTCAGTGACTGAAACACATCATAAAAATTTAAAGATGTGATTTGGAATTTTGAAAGGATGAAACAAGTAAACTTAAATTACACATCTTGGAAGTTCTCATTTTGTTTGATAAGCCAGCGGGTCATAAGATTCATCATACAATTTGCTTTAATTGGAATGTAGGTGATTCAGGGAGGGGTCCCTTAAAATCTTGATTAAAATGTATACATCTTTTTATGGAATTTGGAAAGTACAAAAATGGTATGGTGACTCTGTTCCTCCATCCATATGACTGATTATCCTGATTCATTGAAGGGCAAATTTGTAAAAATGTATTTTCTGTCTTGGACATGTTCCAAATTTAAATCCAGCACGGCAGCACCAGACCATAAATCCATCACATGCATGTGACACTGTCACTACCAGAAGGGACGGAAGACTGGAAATATGCTGGGGTGAAAACCAAACATATCAATTATATCCAATCAGTATTTTGTTACCAAAAGAACTCAACCTGCATATGTGGCCTTGTGAACTTTGTAAATCCAACCATTCAATCTAAAGGAATGAACTGTAAGTAACCTTGAAAATGAAACCACAGCAATGTGTGGGGCATATCCAAAGGCTAACTCATAGAAACATTGCAATTGCAACACGCCAACAGTTCATTTCTGAAAACTGAATTAAAATATCTGTGATTTAATTCTTTCCAATAAGCATATCTCCATAGAAATAAATTTGTTTTGAGAAAAAAAGAAGATTTTTAAAGATTTAAGTTAAGAACACAAGCCTACTAGCTGTATCTTTCCTTTGCCATGCACAATAACTTTTTTTCTGCAAATGGATTTACACCAAAAAATAAATAAGCATATTCCTATCTTTAGTACCTTCCTACCCCGAAGACAGTAAAGCTTTCATATCTCTTAGATTAAAGTTTGAGTCAACATTATATTAACTTTATCAGACTAACACAAGTTTTTACAGAAATATATTTTTTTATGACTTTTCGTGTAAAATCAAACCACACTTCACAGTCAAATTTTAACTTTGTTTCATGGTATAGTATACAAACCTCAATCCATCTCCTTGCCTCAACCAAGGCATCTTCAAGACTTGTCTGCTCTCCACGATCTGGGTGCCTCAGCGAGGCAGATCTCTCCGAGTCCGAGTCTACATCCATCATCTTCAAACTCTATCTCGATTTGACTTTTCCAAAATCAAAGTCCTTCTTCAGCAGTAGAAACTTCAAAGTATTTAACCGCTAGCCAGCAATGGAGTACAGCTGAATTGTCCCTGTTCAATCCCACGGCAACGCGAACCACATTCACTTTTTTCCCAAGGATAAATTTGATGGAATGCTCACTACCACTTTACCCCATAATCTCATAACACAGCTCTACGGGGTAGATGATTTCATGTCAGCGTTTGTAGTGTGCGTCCGCAGTGCAACAAGTCTTACAGTGCATGTTGATTCCCCTTTGCACCCTTGGCGTGGTAGGGGTGCTACTGTGCACCCCTGACGTCACGCCCTATGAGTCATCCGATTGGTGGAACGCTGGCACAAAGTTGTGGGGGAGTCCATGGCATTTTGCGGGTGACTATACGTTTATTCATGCGGGCGTGTGCATGCAAGTTTAAATGCTAATTTGATCACACCGTATTTAGTACAATACAAAAACCGCAACCTTTAGCAGAAATAGGACGGTCCGCCGCCGACTCTTTCATTTTCGTCATAGCGAACTTTTGGTTTAACAGAATCGACAAGAAGCTTCAGAATCCAGATAAGAAAAAATAATCATATCTCGTCGAAACCTTGCCACTTCAGGCAAATGCATTACCGTATGTAGGGCATGAGGTTATGTGCATTGTCTTAACCTGATATGCATGTACGAAACGCATCCCTCTCATGTTTGGAAGTCTATCACCTTTTTACGCTTGGCTGCGCAGCACGTTTTATCCCCTCTTTTTAATGTTACCAACCAGAAACATATTTACAGTCGACTCTCATTATCAAGAGCACTTTTATAAAGAGGTTCTGCTTATAAAGAGCAAATTCTTTATCTCTGGTGATGTATTTTGCTTTATGTACCGGTACATAGACTAGACATAATACTTCAACTTCACTCCCCAAACCTCCTCCCCTGGCCCATGGCATACCCCCTCTTTTGTTGCACCTCCTATTGTTTGCTTTGACTGTCTCCCTTTGCCCACAAGTTGCATCCTTTGTCGCTAAGCTGCAGGGAGCTGCATGCCATTATGTGGGTGTAGGCAACCGCAATAAAACAGTCAAGTTTCCTGGAAGTTTACGTCAAAATCGTCTGAACTGGTTTAAGGAATTACATTCAGCTACACTGTAGTGAAGTTTCTGCAACCAAAGACAGCCAAGTGCTATTTACCCACCTCAATAACCCCACAATTTTTTTTTAGAAACAATCGGCTCTCAAGATAAATCATGCACAGAATTTTGTTCACGATTAACAAACAGTTACCAATTTGAAATGTTTATTACTAAATTATCTCAAACAACATGTCCACAATCCATAACAGAATTCCAATTCACAGCGTCTTCACTTATACTTTAACTGGTAATTTTATTCCTTGATCTGTGTTCATTAAAATTGGAGTACATACAACAAATCAAATTATAATTCTTATGCTTCAATAGTTTTTCTTTCTTTGCCATCATCTAACAAGGTCATAATGGGCGAATTGAAATATATTTTGAAAGTCGAGAAACAGACAAAAATCTGGGACGTGTCATCTCTCAAAGATTCTTTTCAAAAGAGGGCTACTTGTACTCATATTTATTACCACAAATATTAAAATATCTTGCACTTAAAAAAGAAACTTTTTCTCAATGTTTTCCCTAGGCTTGATATATTAGCTTCAAGAAATTTAAATCAATATTCAGTCAGTCTTTAAAGGGAAAATACAACATTTGCAAACACCAAAAAATAAAAATACCAAAACATTTTGAAATACCTTGCTGGACTGTTAGTGAATGACAGTGTAAAGCATCCTGTAAAATCATGGCACCTGGTATACTGTCATTTTCAAGAAAAGTGGTATTTTTGTATCAATTTCCAACGCTGATCGGCCGACCAGCGTTGGAAAAAACTGGCTTTTTTTCAAATACTGGCCCCAGTTGACCATCGCACTTGTTTGCAATCGATAACACACCTATGAACGGGTACAAGCCAGCTAGACTGGTTCCCTGACCTTACAATTCCCCAATGTATGTAAACTGCTCTGTTTCTTCTTAAATGGAGTCAGGGAACCAGACTACAGGAAAATGATTGTTTTTCTTGGTTTTTATAGCATTTTCGAACCCAAAACCTCAAAAAAGTCAGTGTAACTATATTTGCTATATATTTCCAACCCCCCAATTCCATCCATTTCTGAAAATTACAGCAAAAGCAAATGATGTATATTCCCTTTAAGGTGTTATATTTTTCTACATTTTGTCATGTTCTATTTTTCCATAGTCCAGAAATTCTTGTTGGATAATGAATTGTATTTAACTTGGAGTCATGCTAAAACTTATGAACAGTTAATAAGAGAAGTAGAGGAAGTCGTTCTCGACCGATCTGTAACCAGAGAGTCATACGTAGCACAATCTGGAAACAAATAGAACAAAAAGATGCAATAATTTTTTTTTGTTCACATGGATGCAAAACACTGTTTAACAATACAGCAATGACAAACAATCTCTTTCAAGTGGTCAGACCATCTGGTTGATTTTCCTCACAAGCACAATGCTGACAACTTAAACCAGGAAACTCAGAACAAATTAAAAAGTCACTCCTTGCAAAACAATTATTCAACTATGCAATTTACTCATAAGCACCATCAAGATGTCCATTTAAATAAAAAAAAACCCAGTTTTGTCGGCTCAGACATCCAAGGAAGATTGCTCCATCATTGAGACCAGAAAGCCTCTATGGTGGAAACTGCGGTTTGGGAAGAAAATATCATCATAGCCAACTCTGTATTGTACATGTACTTTGCATGTAAAACTCAAGACAACATTGGAGTCGCTCACCTGTAGTAGACATTTTTGTTTGACCACTCTTCAAGAAATCTGAAATAAAAAAAAACAATGAACGGAAAGTGGAATAACACAATCAATACAAACAAATAGAACTTGTATGTTTGAAGTACATTAAAACCAAAAAATACATGAACCTGAGGAATAATGTCTGCATTTCGTATTGCTCAACTCTGTGTGCATGGCAATGTCTTTAAGTATTAATCGCCTTAAACATCGTTAACTAGTGCTTTCTTTCTATCAAATTCAGACAATCAATTATTAAAGAAATAATATTCTTTTATATATAAAAAAATTTATGAAAATATTCAATATATTTATTGGCTCAGACATCCAAGGAAGTGTGTACCATCATTGAGACCAGCAGGTCTCTATGGTGGAAACTGCAGATGTTTGGAAAATGTTTCATCATAGCCAACACAATTTGACAATTGCTGTAGGTCTGACGACTAAGTAGTTCAAATGTAAACATTACAGAAGGAAGCACAAAGAGTAGAATTGACAAACTTGAGAGAGATAAAAGCTTACCATTATTGTTTACAGGCAACGCTTCAGCTGCAAGGAAAGACAGAAAAGAAATGCACTTGAAATTTGTCACTTTTATTACGTAAACATTTCTTGAATACCAAATGGGACCTTAGATTTTGGCTTGTTCAGATTTGGATTGGCTTACAAAAGTAGCTTTTAATATCAGCATCTATCGATAAGCTGGGGAAAGAAATCTATCATCATTACAAGCCAACTTCTGATCTTCTTTTCCTCTTTCTGTTTTGCTTTTCAAGGAATATCTTCCTCGAGGAACACTTTCATTCCTGACCCCAAAAATCCTCCCCTGTGCAGGAACAAAAGGCACATTCTACACATTCAAGAAAAGCAACATGCAAGGTAATAATGTAAAGTGATAGTAGATGCTAACCTCCCTCAATCCTGCAAAATCCTTTAAAACATATGAGTGGATTTTGAAAGATCGGTGAGGGGTAGGCTTGACAATTGTTTCAATCTTAGAAAGTACAAGAAATTGTTAACCGTTGACGAACCTAGTGACAGCAAGCTGAACAGTCTGAACTTCTGGAGGTTAAGATGGCAGCAGGGTCTGTAGTGGGAAGAAAGGAAACGTTTTACTTCCAGAAGGTGCACAAAAATAAACAATTCAAATCTGGGCCTAACAAGTTGCAGGGAAAGGCTTGTTCAGATTTGGTTTGGCTTACAAAAATAGCTTTCAATATCAGCATCTATCGATAAGCTGGGGAAAGAAATCTATCATCATTACAAGCCTTTTATAAATATTTATCTAAAATCTTGGAATGCAGAAGATCACCAATCCAAACTTTGTACATTTGAAATTACTGTCTGAATTTTAAAAAAAAGTGAAGTGATCTTCCCTTACCTTAATATTAACTTTCTTCAGCTTCAATTCTGAAATAAAAATAAAATAATTGTAAGGCGTTCTAACTTTGGTTAGGAATGAACATGTGAGAAATCACGTCAGTTCTTATTGAGCTAATGCTGGTTGTAATGCTGACAAAATCTGACGTATCTGGACAAAATTGTAACATTTAAACTTGAGCATAGTTCAGATCTCCAAAGTGAACTAGCGCCCATCACTGTGAACAACGTATACTAGGGTACACTGATAATGTCTTATCATCATAACCATGCATTTGGAGTTTTCCATCAACAAGTTAGGAAAGAGTTAAAAATTTGCTACAGACAAGGGAACAGTTGCTTGAAACAAACCTTTTTAAACAGTAATCTTGTCTTGCTTCCTGTGACATGTCGGTTGAATGTTCCCATCTTCAGACCTACAAAGAATTAGAGAAAAATTACTAAAATTCTTTGACCCAATATAAAACCCTTTCCTTATATTCTTAAAAAACAATTAACGCTAATGCTTCCAGAATCTTCAATGATAACCAGAGGTTTATAAAAGATTTTTTATTTTGGCTCAGACATCCAAGGAAGATTACTCCATCATTGAGACCAGAAAGCCTCTATGGTGGAAACTGCGGTTTGGGAAGAAAATATCAATTTTCAAAACTTTACAGTAAATTACATTACATCACATCACTTTGTTAGCATTTGCTTATTTACTTACATGGACTCTGATCTCTACATGTTGACTTTCCACAATTCTGTAAAACAAAAAGTGAAGAAAATATCTCATGAGTATAATGTTACGAAAGACCAAATGTTAACATTAATTTCTTTTCTAAGCATGGTTCAGCTCTCCAAAGTGAACAAATGCCCATCACTATGCACAAAGCACATTATGGAACAGCCATAAATGAAATCATCATAACCATGCATTACATTTACAAATTGAACTTTCAAATTAAACCGTGACAAATCTTATTGATGAAGACCAAAAATGTCTTCTTTTTACTCATTGTAGCATGCAGTGACGCCAGCCTCCTCACATTATGGTCCTTCAACTGTAATGAAATGAATTAAAAAATGTTACTGAATAGTTTGATTTTGCAAATTAATAGGCACTATTTGCTGAAGGCAGTCCAAGAACTATGCGAGAGAATACTTGTCAGAGAGGTTCCAACCCAAGAATAAAATTCCTTACTGCACGATAAAAACAAATCAATGTTTACAACAAAAAGGTGCTTAAATACAATAAACCTTTGGTGGTGTACATGTAGTTTGTCAAAGACTGAATACTAAGTTTATGGCTTGTTCAGATTTGGTTTGGCTTACAAAAGTAGCTTTCAATATCAGCATCTATCGATAAGCTGGGGAAAGAAATCTATCATCATTACAAGCCAGAAACTCTGAGCATTCTTGTTAAAAAATGTGTAATCTTACCTCATAAACACCATGCTAAGCAAAGCAAACGTAGTCCAAGGTTCGGATGCCTGATGGAGCTGTTGGGAAAAAAACAACTACATGAGGGTTTTCTAATTCATTTACTCTTTTGGTGTGGGGGAGGAGGGGGGGGGGCATTACTTGTTTTATGAATGTGGGTCAACTCTCCCATGTACATGCCTTCATCATGGCAGTAAGCTTCCCATAAACTATGTTTCCCGTACATTTTTTGGGGAAAAAATACAAGCGAATTGCAATAAATGCATGGACAGGCTTGTTCAGATTTGGTTTGGCTTACAAAAGTAGCTTTCAATATCAGCATCTATCGATAAGCTGGGGAAAGAAATCTATCGTCACTACAAGCCTTTGACAAATGAACTAACAAAACTAAAGTAGAATGCAGAAGATCAGAGATCCAGAATTGTTTACATTTAATATTAAATGTGAACTAATGACACATTATCATTATAACCATGCTTTTTTGTTGAAAAATTGTTGAAAAATTACTACAGACAAGGAAAATAATTGTTGAAAACAAACCTTGTTTAGCTGTTTGTTTCACATCAGTTGAATGATCACATCTTCAAACCTACAGAAAAACAAATGAAAAAAAAAAAGATTTTACGAAACGTTCTTTGACCCAAGATGAACCTCTTTGATTATACATGTACATGTATTTTTAATGAAAGAACGATTAACCTTAATGCTTCCAGAATCTTCAATATTAACCAGGGTTTATAGAAGAATTGTGATTTTGGCTCAGACATCCAAGGAAGATTGCTCCATCATTGAGGCCAGAAAGCCTCTATGGTGGAAACTGCGGTTTGGGAAGAAAATATCATCATGGCCAGTTGTACATTTTTCAAAACTTTACTGTAAAAGCATTACATCACTTTGTTAGCATCTTCTTATTTACTTACATGGACTCTGATCTCTACATGTTGACCTTCGACAATTCTGTAAAACAAAAAGGAAGAAAATATCTCATGAGTATTATGTTACAGAAGACCAATTTTGAACATTAATTTATCTTTTCTAAGCATGGTTCAGTTCTCCAAAGTGAACAAATACCCATCACCATGCACAAAGCACATTATGGAACAGCCATAAATGAAATCATCATAACCATGCATCACATCTACAAATGGAACTTTCAAATTAAACCGTGACAAATCTTATTGATGAAGACCAAAAATGTCTTCTTTGTACTCACTCACTGTAGCATGCAGTGAAGCCAGCGCCTTCACGATATGGTCCTTTAACTGTAATGAAATGAAGTCAAAAATGCTACTTAATATTTTGATTTTGCAAATTAATAGGCAGTATTTGCTCAAAGCTGTCTAAGAACTGTCTGAGAGAATACAGGTAGTCCTTTTCAAAATTTGATTGAAGAGGTTCCAACCCAAGAATAAAATTCCTTACTGCGTGATAAAAACTAATGAATGTTTAAAAAAAATGGTACTAAAATACAATGAATCTTGGTGGTGTGGTTTGTCAAAGACTGAATTCTAACTTGATGGCTTGTTCAGATTTGGTTTGGCTTACAAAAGTAGCTTTCAATATCAGCATCTATCGATAAGCTGGGGAAAGAAATCTATCATCATTACAAGCCAGAAACACTCAGCATTCTTGCTTAAAAATATGTAATCTTACCTCATAAACACCATCTTAAGCAAAAGCAAACGTAGTTCAAGGTTCGGATGCCTGATGGAGCTGTTGGAAAAAAACAATTACATGAGGGTTTTCTAATTTATTTACTTTTTTGGTGTGGGGGAGGGGGGGGGGCATTACTTGTTCTATGAATGTGGGTCAACTCTTCCATGTACATGGAATGTACATGCCTTCATCATGGCAGTAAGCTTCCCATAAACTATCTTTTCCGTACAATTTTTTTGGGAAAAAATACAAGCAAATTGCAATAAATGCATGGACAGGCTGGTTCAGATTTGGTTTGGCTTACAAAAGTAGCTTTCAATATCAGCATCTGTCGATAAGCTGGGGAAAGAAATCTATCATCATTACAAACCTTTGACAAATGAACTTACAAAACCGAAGTAGAATGCAGAAGATCAGAGATCCAGAATTGTTAACATTTAATATTAAATGTGAACTAATGACACATTATCATTATAACCATGCTTTTTTGTTGAAAAATTGTTGAAAACTTACTACAGACAAGGAAAATAATTGTTGGAAACAAACCTTGTTTAGCTGTTTGTTTCACATCAGTTGAATGATCACATCTTCAAACCTACAGAAAAACAAATGAAAAAAAAAATTTTTTACGAAACGTTCTTTGACCCAAGATGAACCTCTTTGATTATACATGTATTTTTAATGAAAGAACGATTAACCTTAATGCTTCCAGAATCTTCAATATTAACCAGGGTTTATAGAAGAATTGTGATTTTGGCTCAGACATCCAAGGAAGATTGCTCCAGCATTGAGACCAGAAAGCCTCTTTGGTGGAAACTGCGGTTTGGGAAGAAAATATCATCATGGCCAGCTGTAAATTTGTAAAAACTTTACATTAAATTACATTACATCATTTTGTTAGCATCTGCTTAATTTACTTACATGGACTCTGATCTCTACATGTTGACTTTCCACAATTCTGTAAAACAAAAAGGAAGAAAATATCTCATGAGTATAATGTTACGAAAGACCAATTTTTAACATTAATATATCTTTTCTAAGCATGGTTCAGCTCTCCAAAGTGAACAAATGCCCATCACCATGCACAAAGCACATTATGGAACAGCCATGAATGAAATCATCATAACCATGCATCACATCTATCATTTGAACTTTCAAATTAAACCGTGACAAATCATGTTACGAAAACCAAAAATATCTTCTTTGTACTCACTCATTGTAGCATGTAGTGAAGCCAGCTCCCTCACGATATGGTCCTTTAACTGTAATGAAATGAAGTCAAAAATGCTACTTAATATTTTGATTTTGCAAATTAATAGGCAGTATTTGCTCACAGCTGTCCAAGAACTATCTGAGAGAATACAGGAAGTCCTTTTCAAAATTTGATTGAAGAGGTTCCAACCCGAGAATAAAATTCCTTACTGCATGATAAAAAGTAATGAATGTTAAAAAAAAAAACGGTACTCAAATACAATGAACCTTCGGTGGTGTGGTTTGTCGAAGACTCGATACTAAAGTTTATGGCTTGTTCAGATTTGGTTTGGCTTACAAAAGTAGCTTTCAATATCAGCATCTATCGATAAGCTGGGGAAAGAAATCTATCATCATTACAAGCCAGAAACACTCGGCATTCTTGCTTAAAAAATGTGTAATCTTACCTCATAAACACCATGCTAAGCAAAAGCAAACGTAGTTCAAGGTTCGGATGCCTGATGGAGCTGTTGGAAAAAAACAATTACATGAGGGTTTTCTAATTCATTTACTTTTTTTGAAGTGGGGGGGGGGGGGAGGGGGGCATTACTTGTTTTCTGAATGTGGGTCAACTCTCCCGTGTACATGGAATGTACATGCCTTCATCATGGCAGTAAGCTTCTCACAAAACTATGTTTCCCACACAATATTTTGTGAAAAAATACAAGCAAATCGCAATAAATGCATGGACAGGCTTGTTCAGATTTGGTTTGGCTTACAAAAGTAGCTTTCAATATCAGCATCTATCGATAAGCTGGGGAAAGAAATCTATCATCACTACAAGCCTTTGACAAATGAACTAACAAAACCAAAGTAGAATGCAGAAGATCAGAGATCCAGAATTTTTTACATTTAATATTAAATGTGAACTAATGACACATTATCATTATAACCATGCTTTGGGGGTTTTCCATCAACAAGTGTGGACAATTGTTGAAAAATTACTACAGACAAGGAAAATAATTGTTGGAAACAAACCTTGTCTAGCTGTTGGTGACATATCAGTTGAATGTTCATATCTTCAAACCTACTGAAAAACAAATGAAAAAAAGAAGATTTTACGAATCTTTCTTTGATCCAAGATGAAACTCTTGAGTATACATTAACCTTTATCCTTCCAGAATCCTCAATATTTACCAGGATTTATAGAAGAATTGTGATTTTGGCTCAGACATCCAAGGAAGATTGCTCCATCATTGAGGCCAGAAAGCCTCTATGGTGGAAACTGCGGTTTGGGAAGAAAATATCATCATGGCCAGTTGTCAATTTTTCAAAACTTTACTGCAAAAGCATTACATCACTTTGTTAGCATCTTCTTATTTACTTACATGGACTCTGATCTCTACATGTTGACTTTCCACAATTCTGTAAAACAAAAAGGAAGAAAATATCTCATGAGTATTATGTTACGAAAGACCAATTTTTAACATTAATATTTCTTTCTAAGCATGGTTCAGCTCTCCAAAGTGAACAAATTCCCATCACCATGCACAAAGTACATTATGGAACAGCCATGAATGAAATCATCATAACCATGCATTACATTTACAAATTAAACTTTCAAATTAAAACGTGACAAATCTTATTGATGAAGACCAAAAATGTCTTCTTTTTACTCATTCATTGTAGCATGCAGTGAAGCCAGCCTCCTCACATTATGGTCCTTCAACTGTAATGAAATTAATTCAAAAATGCTACTGAATAGTTTGATTTAGCAAATTAATAGGCACTATTTGCTGAAGGCTGTCCAAGAACTATGCGAGAGAATACTTGTCAGAGAGGTTCCAACCCAAGAATAAAATTCCTTACTGCACGATAAAAACAAATCAATGTTTACAACAAAAAGGTGCTTAAATACAATAAACCTTTGGTGGTGTACATGTAGTTTGTCAAAGACTGAATACTAAGTTTATGGCTTGTTCAGATTTGGTTTGGCTTACAAAAGTAGCTTTCAATATCAGCATCTATCGATAAGCTGGGGAAAGAAATCTATCATCATTACAAGCCAGAAACACTCAGCATTTTTGCTTAAAAATGTGTAATCTTACCTCATAAACACCATGCTAAGCAAAAGCAAATGTAGTCCAAGGTTCGGATGCCTGATGGACCTATTGAAAAAAAAAAGAAACATTGTGATAGTTTTCAATTTTTTGGGGGGGGGGGAATTACTCATTTGACGACCTTGGATCAACTCTTTTTGTGTGTACATGGAATGTACATGCCTTCATCATGGCAGCAAGCTTCCCACATAACTTTGTGTTTCACTCAAAATATTTTCTGAAAGAAGTTACAAGACAAATCGCAATAAATGCACGGACAGGCTTGTTCAGATTGGTTTGGCTTACAAAAGTAGCTTTCAATATCAGCATCTATCGATAAGCTGGGGAAAGAAATCTATCATCACTACAAGCCAACTGCAGAACCCATTTCAACTGACTTTCATTCACATTGTAATACTTACACTGTACCTTGTGTGCGCATATTGTGTGTGCTGAGTTTTTAGTGATACAGTTTCAGTGAATTTACATTTCAGTGTCTTCATCATGGTCTTGTTCAATATCATTATCATTGTCAGGATTGTAACTTCAACTTCAAGTTGTTGGATACATTTGCCAAACACATAGAATCTGAAATCTTTTTAAACTAACAGTAACAACATTACAACACAGCTACAGCAGGACCTTTTTAACATGTTAAACTAGAAAATGATGCATTTTGAGAATTAACATTTAATAGATTTTGAGGAATTCAGTGGCCAGTGCGCGCAATCCACGGCACAGCACAACTGCACGCCGCAGCCACGTCTACAAAAATGTACAAAACTTACGCAAGAACGCACGTGGTCGGCGGCACCATGATGTTTGCACACGATGCAACAACCAATGCCGAGGCCGCGCCCGGGCCCTGGCTATGCATGTTTAGCTTTGAAAGTTTGACGATGCATGATGAAGAACGGCGCATGATTGCCCTCCAAAAAAACACAAGATTCTGTCATGGATTTTCACTATATCTATTAAACACATAATATTCTTTAAACTGCAAGATCTGAAAGATTTATTTAGTACTTACATCTTCAAATTCTGAAGAGAAAAAGCCGACACGCTATCGCCATTCACCTGTTCACGGCTTAGCTGGAATTAGCATGCAAATTTGTACAGTATGGTCTTTTTTTTAGTACCAGCATTGTCCATCTGCAAAACGTCAGGGTACTAGGAACACGTTATGACAGCGCCCTCTGTTGGTCCGTAGGATCTGATGTCGTTTTCATACCTAGTATCATCTCCAGCTTAGGATTCATTCTGTCACATTCCAGGCTTAAACAAACAAAAAAGGACTCAAACTTTGGCTTGTCTTGTATGGTTTGATGTTCCTATAACAGAAAATACAAATTTTTGAATATCAAATGCAAGGGACCTGAAATGATGGATTTTGTTCAACCAAAAAGCCGAAATGTTTGTGTAACCGAGGTTTGCTATATTCCCACGTGTCCGCCGCGCCGCAGCGCTTCATTGATCCGTGATGCATTGCGCGCGAAGCTCAATTGAGACAAAATGGCGGCTTTTTACGAATAGTTTTTGCGAGATGCATTTCATAATTTGAAAACCTGCCGTTTGTTAACAGTAAGGAAACAAGTGATAACCTGGAGGTTTGAGAAAAGATTATAGAGTGTAGGTGAGTACATTTGAGCGAATTTCCCGTCACGAAAAGGTTTAAAAACGATTAATTTAAAATGAAAATAGAGAGAGGCATATCGCATCGTCGACTAGTCGATAGAGGGCGCTGGCCGTCTTGACATTTTGTTTTTTTAAGAACTTGACTACTTACTAACTTAACTTACTATTTAAAGTATTTTATTATATTGAGAACATAAGCACCACAGGGTTCCTTGTAATGACTAATGTTTCTTTGATTTTGGAAAAACATTGGAAAAAGTATTGAAATTTTGTTTACCTACTCCTTGTGTCCAGAATTTGCGTATTTTTGTGCCATCGTGTTGCAGACAAAAGATTCAAAATCATTTATGTTTATTCTCTTTATAATTTGCTGGAATTCCCTTGAATTAACTTTTTTCGAAAAATTAAATAATACTTTATTCGGAGTGGTTCTGTCTGAAAAACTGGTTTTCTCACATGATTTTGTTTTGCGCGAAGCACTTTTTGATCGATTTGGATTGGAACTGATTAAACAAGGAAAAGTGGTGTTGGTAATTTTGACGTCGCAAATTCAAAATTAAAAGAGCTATTAAGCATGGCTCTAAAAACAAAACAAGTCGTCAAGTGTCCTGACATAAGGAATATTGACTTGACTCCTATTTTTTTATCCCTGGAATAAATTCAGAAACTTGCATTCATATTTGGTTTGGATGGAAACGTATTTTAAAAACGAACTCTCAACTCGCACTTTCCACAGAAACCGTCTTACCATGGGCGTCGCCATTTTATTGAAACGTCACGACATGTAAAACTTAATAAAAGTAATATTTTTGTCTTTGTCTTTGATAAGTCGTTTGGTCTTTAGAATTTGAGTTTATGAATAAAAAGGGTAGCCTGTAGACCACGTACGTTAATGAAATATGACACCCGCGGAAACTTAGTCTGAGCATGCGCACATTAATTATTATAATTGTAATCCGAAACCACGCGAGAAGACGCATTACGCACGCGTTTGTGACGTCTCTATGCAAAAACGCGCATGAACTTTGCGCGCGCAAAAACGAGCCCCAGAATTCTGCTTTCTCTCTCATAAACCGGATTTTTTTGGCGATTTTCCCTTGGCTATTATAATACTCCATGAATTATTGTAATTTTCCAATTTTGCGAGAACCGAGCTAATATTTTTTGCAATGAAAGATAGGTTCATCTCGTTCGCGTATTTCACGCTTGCCATGTCATGTTTACGTGTAATTGTATAGGGAACTTACCTGCGTGCAAAAGTATAGGCAGATTGACGAGTGCTTAACCAGTTCCGTGAGAATCTTGTTTATTGCAGCTGGGGGTCTTTTAAATCACAAGATAATCCATTCCAATTGAGAAGTACAAATAGTAATTATTAGATTATAAGCTTTTTATTTTAATTGCTACCATTTTTAATGTAAAATTTGCCATTTTCCCCTTCTTTACATTAAGCCAAACCTTGTCCACCATTGCAATTTTCAGTTTCAAACTCTCTCCTGTTTGAGTATTTTGCCTTTTTGGGCATAGTTCATGAATCTCCTACCCTCAGAATTCGCAAATAATTAAAGGGAATATACAACATTTGCAAACATCGAAAAATAAAACTACCAAGTTTTTGCGAAATACCTTAATAGGATGTTGGTAAATGACAGTCTAAAGCATCCTGTAAAATTATGGCACCTGGTATACTGTCATTTTCAAGAAAAGTGGTATTTTTGTATCAATTTCCAACGCTGATCGGCCGATCAGCGTTGGAAACAACTGGCTTTTTTTCAAATACTAGCCCCAATTGACCATTGCACTTGTTTGCAATCGATTACAAACCTATAAACGGGTACGAGCCAGCTAGACTGGTTCCCTGACCTTACAATTCCCCCAAAGTATGTAAACTGCTCTGTTTCTTCTTATATGGAGTCAGGGAACCAGACTATAGGAAAATTATCGTTTTTCTTGGTTTTTATAGCATTTTCGAAACCAAAACCTCCAAAAAGTTAGTGTAACTATATTTGCTTTATATTTCCAACCCCCCAATTCCATCCATTTCTGAAAATTACAGCAAAAGCAAATGATGTATATTCCCTTTAACAAATCAATTGTTTATTAGTAAATCACTGGAATTTAATATTAAACTCTTACTACAATCTTTAAATTAACTCCAATGCCAGCGTTTGAAGAGGCTAGACCCAAGATGTTTATTAAAATTTACATTTTATTTTAATTTATAAAGGTCTTTATTATGATTACAATAGTTAAAAATATATTTCAATTATATAAAAGGGTTATTTTTGAATTAATTTTTTTAAAGGCTGGTCATAGTTCTTTTCTTCAAAGTGTCCTTCATCATGTCATCTTGTAGATTCAGGCATTGTAGATTCCTTGTAGAAGTCTGCATCATCATCATCAGAAGGAACGACAGTCCCCGGACGACACTCAAAGCATCTCCATACAGCTAAAAAAAACGTACACATATAAGGAAAAATAAGCAATGTTAAAATATTTCAAAACGCAACATAATAAATAATAGATATCAGAAACAATTTGACAGATTTGAGTTTGGCATGGAGAAAAAAACCCTAGCCTATATTTTTTGGGCCTCATGTATGACCAATTACAATTATTTGCTTTGGTCTCTTTCCATTCTTTATAACCTTTAAAAAAATTCATTATTATTCTTTTTTTTTTCCCAGTGAAAAACGACTTGGTCTAAAACATGAATTTATTTGTATATTTTGTCTGTAAAGTTGTGGGTAAAAATCGTAGGCCTAGTGTAGGCCTAGACACGACTTCTACAACAAAAACTTAATTCATTGAGCCCCCCCCCCCCTTTTTTTTTCTGGCCTTTAAATTTATAAAAAAGAAAAAAAAATAGTAGTGTTGCCGTCATGGCCGTTGGAATTACATGAATTGTATGTTAAATTCTACTTCTTAGTCTCCAATTTCCAAAGGCAACTTGCAATTGAATCAGTTTTCGTATTTTACTGATCAGACCCAAATCCCCTTTTACCCGTATAGCTCTCAAAACTCGACTCCAAAGCGACGGTATAACCACCAGTCAAAAGCGATGTGTGTTGTGGGGGCGCGAGCTCCAACTCCCGGCACGCTGTTGCAGACTGCACGGTGCCCGTGATGCCTGGCGACTTCACCGCGTGGTCCGTGCGGTGTCAAATTTCTTCCCACGAGTATCGGTTTGCATGCAAGTCATGACATGTCGTTGTACGTGGTTTAGAATGGCAGATCCGAGGTTTCTTGACTTCCACAAGACATAATAGAGGCACAAAATCCTCTATTTCCTGAAAGATTCAGCATTTCGTACTCATTCAGCCACTTCCCAGTGTACATTTCCTGATGCTCACCGCGAGTCACATGCGTTTTTGAGTCAAAATGTCGCCGAAAATGCGATATTCAAGGACGAATTTTGACGATTAAAAAAAATATTAGCTGCTTTCCCGTATGGAAAACAATGAAGTATACACCCTCGTTCACTACATTTAAGAAGTGAGAAATCCCTAAAAAATCCGGATTTTAAAAAAATACCAAAATTTGATGTGATATCAGAAAAAAGTTCGATTTTCGTGCAAAATCATACTAAAATTCAAACTTTCATAAAACGATTTTGCAAACTGATATTTTCATAATTAAAAAAATATTTATCATGTTGATGAAGCCTCCTTACCAACTGGGGTGCATAGAAACCGCCAGGGGCGATGTCGTCACTGATATAGGGTAGTTTAATTGGTGAGTAACTTCGCGTTTTGATAAATGAATATTCATAATCCGATAATGAGGCACGTGTGTACGCGCGCGTACAGCCGCCATTTTGCGCGTGCGCAAACTAAATTTCGCGGAATGCGATACGTGAGACTAGTACAAATGTACTCACGAAGTTCAAACTTTTATTAGTAACACGGCGGCATAAAAAGAAATGGTGACCACTTTCCTATTTCTTCTTTCACATCTATGGTGATTGAGAAAGCATGAAACATTGCCAAACAAAGTAATGTATATTTGTATATGTACAGGACTCAACTTTTCCTTCATTTATTTATGTTGTTAACCCTCCCTCTCTAAGCAACCCATTCCAAAGTATTTGAAGTTCTGATTACTTCAGAATATAAAGTTCTTGTTCCAAAAGTTTGTTTCTTTTTTAAATCCAGTGATTTGAATCTGTAAGGTGGATTAATCCCCCCTCCCCAGAAATGTCAATACCTAAATACCTGATGTGTGCACATGTACATGTAGTTGAAATAAAGAACTGGCATATTTTGCCTCTAAAACATTTAATGACGTTAAGAGTTTGAGGCCAATGTGGAACCTTTTTATGACTTTCAGTATGAGACTGCTTTCCCATTTTGTTTCTGCCCACAATGACATTCTTTATTCATAACTTATATAATTACTTTTTTGTTTCAGGACTTGAGCAAAATTGGTCTGATGCTGATGTCCCCTTATCATTATTACCAACGGATGAATACAGGAGACCAGACCAGTCTTATCCACCTGTTGTTCACTACTACCAGAAGGTGCACTAGTGGACCAGAGGGAACATCATCACTGATTCATTGGAAGTGTAACTGACAAGTGAAATCAGGACGACAAGAAAGAGGTGAGTTATTACCATGCTAACTTCTTTCTTGGGCAATTCCGTAAATTTTGATGAGCTGCTGTTGGAAAAGTGAATGTGACACATCACTAATAATAATCAATTATTTCATCAATAATATTCTAATGAGTAGAAAACAGACTAAACTAAGGTACAGTCGTTTTCCTAGTTCCGGATAGCAAACATCATTCAGGCTGCTTTCAGCTCAATTACTCCACAAATTCAAGTGACATTGGTTCAATAGTTTACCTTGAGTGATGGAGATACTACATACATTTTGTAATAATTTTCCAAATTTAGGCTCTTTTTATTTTGACTTTACGACGTCAAAAGTACCAATGTCACTTTTCCTAGTTCCGCATCGGTTCAATCAATTCCGAATTGATCAAAAACTGTTTCGTGCAAAAAAAAAAATCACGCGAGAAAATTAAATTTTTTTCAGCCAGAACTTACCGAATCAAGCATATGTCCTGTTAAAGTATTATTTTATTTTCCCAAAATAGTTCATTCAAGAGAATTCCACCAAATTTAACAAAGAGAAAAATGTAAATGATTTTGAAATATTTTTCTGCACAAGTAAAAGTGCGAGTCGGAAATCTGGCCGGAATTCCTCTCCTAACGATTTTATCGAAAAGGTCTTCATGTATCAAGAAGCTTAGGCCTACATTTTCCTTTTTAAAATGCACTTCCTTAGAAAAAAAATATATTGGAGACTAATCCAAAAGAGGTAGGTTTTTGTTTGAAGCTATCCGGAACTAGGAAAAATCAGGAACTAGGAAAATGACTGTACATGTACCACCTTGTCCGTGTACATCATGTGGTTGGATGTACATGTACGTTGGATTTAACAGAATTGCCCTTATCACAAGAATGGTTGCTGTTGCTGCATACTATATACATGTACATGTATCTACATGCATGGAGCTAAAGATGCTGAATGGATATTATACCCTCATATAATGTCACCACTTGAAAAAAAATACCTCAGAGAATAACTGTAACAAAATCTAGCTACAAATGTTTCTGTAAATTGAATTATCTGGAGTCCTGGCTCTGTTTACACATACATGTGTAATGTAGCCCAGGTTGGACTCAGTTGTGTACATGTACACGCAACGGAGACCAGGGTATGAATGTCTGCTTCCATAGCAAAAACATTCTAAAACATTTTTGAGTGGTCGGGCACAACCCGACCACTCTCTGTTATTGTTCTGATAAATCTTTCCTCTTTTTTTCCGGACAATACTTCTCCGCGGCTTTTCTCCTAAACGGTTCATGAAATGAACTTGTAACTTTCAATATATATCGACCCTCATCCCTAGTGGTGCATATTACTCTGAGTCTCTGACGTCATGATGATGTCATCGGGTGTCAAATTACAAGCGATTTCAGCTGAAAAAAATGACCAATTACTTTCACCTATAACTCTTGAACTAAATAATCAATAGTGTTTGTATTCTGTAATCAGATAGACCATGAATTGATAAACATTTTTTGTCGTATACGTGAACTCGCTTGACCTTTACTTCCGGGTCTACCGGAAGGTCAAAGTTAGGTGAATTCAAAATGAAGACTTTAGCCTGAAATCAAAACAAAGCAGATTTTTTTCCAAACGGATTGCAGTATGATCCTGATTCCTGAAACCTAATGTGAACTTGTACCATGCTAGGAAGATGTTAGAAATTTTGTTACGTCATCATGACGTCATCAAGTAATAAATTACAAGCGATTTTAGGGCAAATTCTGACAAAATAGTTTGCGCTATATCTTTTGAACTACAGTAAATAGAGTATCTTGTTTGTTTTTTCGTGAGGTTGTAGACTATTCCGTGAGAAACATTTCTTGTCCCCGGACACAAAACCGCTTGACCTCACTTCCGGTATCCGTTCAAATTTTACCAAATCGCTCCTTGATATTCTTTGATTAACCAAAAAGGTTTCAAATTCATGACTCGCTTGACCTTTACTTCCGGGTCTACCGGAAGGTCAAAGTGAGGTAAATTTAAAATAAAGACTTTAGCCTGATATCAAAACAAAGCAGAATCTCCTCCAAATGGTTTTCGGTATGACCCAGAAACTAATGTGAACTTGTACCATGCTAGGAAGATGTTATAAATTTTGTTACGTCATCATGACGTCATCAAGTAATAAATTACAAGCGATTTTAGGGCAAATTCTGACAAAATAGTTTGCGCTATATCTTTTGAACTAAATAGAGTATCTTGTTTGTTTTTTTCGTGAGGTTGTAGACTATTCCGTGAGAAACATTTCTTGTCCCCGGACACAAAACCGCTTGACCTTCACTTCCGGTTTCCGTTCAAATTTTACCAAATCGCTGCTTGATATTCTTTGATTAACCAAAAAGGTTTCAAATTCATGACGTCATCAGACCAGCAGTTACTTCTGTGAGAATTTGAAAACGACCATATTCTAAAATTTGATTCATGTCGTGTATCTTCGTAGCCCAAGTAAATTGACGATATCCAATGTTCACTTTTTGCTGCCAAATGCTGTGACGTCATCAAACCGGAAGTTAGTTGTTATGAATAAATACACGTATATTTTCTATACTTTCATACGTCATTAAACTTTACAATGAACATTCATCCACTCCGAAGTCCGAACTAAATCAGTATTCACTTCCCGTTTTTGAATAATGACGTCATCAAGCCATCAATAACTTGTGTACATAGAATGTTTACTGAACTTTACCACAAAATAATTGATTGTACCTGACAGGATTTAATTTCGTGATCCTTTGTTCTTACATAAAAATATTCAAAACTTAACACGGCAGTGTTTATTGCAAAAAAAGTGTCGCCCGACCACTCTGCGTTTGTAACAACAAACGCGAACCTAGTCTTTCTTTCTTTCAGTGGTCAGGCACAACCCGACCACTGTCTGGATTCGTTCTCATAAATCTTTCTTTCTTTCTTTTTTCCGGACAATACTTCTCCGCGGGTTTTCTCCTAAACGGTAAATGTTATGAATATAAGATTTGAGGCTTTGCATGGTGGGGTATCGGTATCGTTTCGGTTTGCGGTTACACCATGTGGTAATAACTACTGCTTAGAAGATATTAGTTCTGAGAAGAACTTGTCCTGCTTATTATCAACTTTGCTAAGTAGTTTTTGTTCTGTTTAGAACAGTCCTGCTGTAAGTTCTAAAAGAACTTGTCTTTGGTCTCAACGTTTCGACTAGCCTGCTCTAGTCATCGTCAGGAGACAGTCTACTTAGCAAAGTTGATAATAAGCAGGACAAGTTCTTCTCAGAACTAATATCTTCTAAGCAGTAGTTATTACCACATGGTGTTACCGCAAACCAAAATGTTATGAACTTGTAACTTTCAATATATTGATCCTCATCCCTAGTGGTGCATATTACTCTGACGTCATCATGACGTCATCGGGTATCAAATTACAAGCGATTTTAGCTGAAAAAGTGATCAATTACTTTCACCTCTAACTCTTGAACAAAATAATCAATGATGTTTGTATTTCTGTAATCGGATAGACCATGAATTGATAAACATATTTTGTCGTATACGTGAACTCGTTTGACCTTTACTTCCGGGTCTACCGGAAGGTCAAAGTTAGGTGAATTCAAAATGAAGACCATTCTGAAATCAAAACAAAGCAGATTTTTTTCCAAACGGATTGCGGTATGATCCTGATTCCTGAAACCTAATGTGAACTTGTACCATGCTAGGAAGATGTTAGAAATTTTGTTACGTCATCATGACGTCATCAAGTAATAAATTACAAGCGATTTTAGGGCAAATTCTGACAAAATAGTTTGCGCTATATCTTTTGAACTACAGTAAATAGAGTATCTTGTTTGTTTTTTCGTGAGGTTGTAGACTATTCCGTGAGAAACATTTCTTGTCCCCGGACACAAAACCGCTTGACCTCACTTCCGGTATCCGTTCAAATTTTACCAAATCGCTCCTTGATATTCTTTGATTAACCAAAAAGGTTTCAAATTCATGACTCGCTTGACCTTTACTTCCGGGTCTACCGGAAGGTCAAAGTGAGGTAAATTTAAAATAAAGACTTTAGCCTGATATCAAAACAAAGCAGAATCTCCTCCAAATGGTTTTCGGTATGACCCAGAAACTAATGTGAACTTGTACCATGCTACGAAGATGTTATAAATTTTGTTACGTCATCATGACGTCATTAGGGATCAAATTACAAGCGATTTCAGGGCAAATTTTGACAAAATAGTTTGCGCTATATGTTTTGAACTAAATAGATTATTGTTTTCGTTTTTTCGTGAGGTTGTAGACTATGCCGTGAGAAACATTTCTTGTTCCCAGACTAAAAACCACTTGACCTTCACTTCCGGTATTACCGGAAGTGCAATGAAAACCGAATGTAATTCAAAAGCAGAAGCATTTTACTACACACATATAAATTATGATAGTATTAAGTGAGGAATGCCAGACCAAAAAAAAGTGTGATGACGTCATCTTTCGAAAGGGCGCCCCCTAGCGGCACATAGCACAGTGTTTGCTCTTTTTAATTTGAAAACCATCCTTTTAAATTTTACCAAATCGCTCCTTGATATTCTTTGATTAACCAAAAATAACCTGGCAAGGTTTCGAATTCATGACGTCATCAGACCGGAAGTTACTTCTATGAGAATTTGAAAACGACCATATTCTAAAATTTGATTCATGTCGTATATCTTCGTAGCCTAAGTTACGATATCCATTACAGTGTTCACTTTTTGCTGCCAAATACTGTGACGTCATCAATCAGGAGGTTAGTTGTTATGAAAAAATACACGTATATTTTCCATACTTTCATTCGTCATTAAACTTTACAATGAACATTTATCCACTCCGAACTAAATCAGTATTCACTTCCCGTTTTTGAATAATGACGTCATCAAGCCATCAATAACTTGTGTACATAGAATGTTTACTGAACTTTACCACAAAATAATTGATTGTACCTGACAGGATTTAATTTCGTGATCCTTTGTTCTTACATAAAAATA